ACATAAATTTCTCTCACATTCCTTCGTCTAAGCAAACGTTTCCCATTTTCTCTTTTCTTTGCCAGAGATTTTGCCAGAAATGTTCTATTTCTCTAATTGTATTTCGTAGAGTTTTCACTTTGTCTACACCAACATCATGGCTAACATAACGAAACAAAAACAAATCATTACGAAGCCATGACTGAACGGAAAAAGTGGTTAGTCGAGTGAAAGGTGAGTGAACTTTAACGAATTCCAGTGCTCAGAGACTGAATGCAAGAGAGGGAGACAGAGAGGAGGAATAAAAACGGAGGCAGAGGGAGGGAAGGGATGGAGGAAAGAAAATGAGAATGAGAATGAGAATGAGAGAGAGAGAGAGAGAGAGAGAGAGAGAGAGAGAGAGAGAGAGAGAGAGAGAGAGAGAGAGAGAGAGAGAGAGAGAGAGGGAGGGAGAGAGGGAAGGAGGGAGAGAGAATGAGAAAGAGAGAGAGAGAGAGAGAGAGAGAGAGAGGGGGAGGGGGAGAGAGGGAGAGAGAGAGAGGGAGGGAGGGAGAGAGAATGAGAGAGAGAGAGAGAGAGAGAGAGAGAGAGAGAGAGAGAGAGAGAGAGAGAGAGAGAGAGAGAGAGAAAGAGAGAGAGAAAGAGAGAGAGAGAGAGAGAGAAAGAGAGAGAGAGAGAGAGAGAGAGAGAGAGAGAGAGAGAGAGAGAGAGAGAGAGAGAGAGAGAGAGAGAGAGAGAGAGAGAGAGAGAGAGAGAGTAAGAGAGAGAGAGTAAGAGAGATAGAGATAGAGAGAGAGAGAGAGAGAGAGAGAGAGAGAGAGAGTAAAAAGGGGAATAGGAGAGACACAAAAAGTATATATGAATAAAAATGAAAAAGCAAACAAACTTACTGCAAATATTTAATCAACTACGCACACAAAAGATAATAATAACACAAACAACAAAATCAGTAACAAAAACAAGCAAAACAGAGAATGAAAAACCACGTGACTAACAAACCTCTCGTATATGCCATGCATGACAGACCTCCCGTCATCTGCTGTTTCGATCCCTGTCACAGTTATGACACAGTTATGAATTCATGCGTAATATAACACACTCTCTCTCTCTGCCTGATATTCTATGCATGACAGTCATTCATAAACATCTACTTTCATGACACCTTAATTATATTCATTATTTCAGATTCAATTAATTCAACCATGTTAGGAATATAAAAGTTGTAGAATAGAATGTTTTTAAATTATCATACTGAGCCTATTGGAAACTTTGTAATATAACTAATGAAGTAATTTACGCTGTGAAATTGAATATAATTGGCAATTAAATATTTCTAATACATTTTTGTAGCTCAGACATAAATTGATATTAGATGCTCTCAAATGACTTTATTGAATTGATTACATTCTAGGCGATTATTAATACATTAGAATTTAATTATTTTATTTCATATCTTTAAGTAGTCGTTAGTCATATCATAATTTCGAGAATCTTTAACTAATAATACTTTAATAAACTTTCAGACTATCCCATTTTCATGATAATTTCATGAATTAATTTCACTAATTTGATTGGATTACGCTATTAGCTTCATGAAATTTTTAAAAGATATTCGTAATTTACTCAATTTAGAATACATTCCCTTATTCTTTTATGGACAATATTTTAAATAATTCAACTAAAAATAGCGTTTAAATTGAATTTTCACTACCAACACATTACCCCTTAGTCATAACGCCCGCCCACGCCCACAGGCCCGGACAGTTTTCATCATGTGTTGCTGCTACACCGTGGGCGCTCTCATCTACTCCCTGTCGTCTGCCACGCCCATCATGGCCAGTGTGGACGCAGCCAAGGCCACGGGCATTGCAGGTCGGTCCTGGGTCATGCACGGTCATGATAAGTTGAACTGTGTATATCTAATGAGAGAGAGAGAGAGAGAGAGAGAGAGAGAGAGAGAGAGAGAGAGAGAGAGAGAGAGAGAGAGAGAGAGAGAGAGAGAGAAGAGAGAAAGAGAGAAAGACAGGAAGAGAGAGAGAGAGAGAGAGAGAGAGAGAGAGAGAGAGAGAGAGAGAGAGAGAGAGAGAGAGAGAGAGAGAGAGAGAGAGAGAGAGAGAGAGAGAGAGAGAGAGAGAGAAGAAGACAGGGAGAGAGAGAGGGAGAGAGAGAGAGAGAGAGAGAGAGAGAGAGAGAGAGAGAGAGAGAGAGAGAGAGAGAGAGAGAGAGCGAGAGAGATAGAGAGAGAGATTTTCTTTTCATTTCTAATTTTTCACATTTTTTTTTTCTTATATCATTTATTTATGTTTTTAATAGTTATTATCAGTTCAAACTAGATCCCGAGGATAAAAAAGAACATTGCCTTATCTCAATTTCCGCAGAAATTAATCTTCCTTTTAAAGTCATCTTTACTGAACACCCAAGCCTCTCTGTCCACGAAAGTCTACAAAAGTTCATGCACTGTGTAAAAAAAATAGATAAATAAGCCAACGAATAAATAAATAGACACGACATTTGTTCACCAAGTCGGTTTATATAGCATTACGCACCCCTTTCCCTCCCAAAAATATATAGGATATGAATTTGTTGTAAAATTTCTCACATGCGATTCTTCGAACAGGTCTGCTCGTGCTGGGCATCGCAGCCGGTCTGATGAAAGCCGTGTATTCGTCCCTTGGCGCGGACCAGTTCAAGGTTCCTGAGCAAAGGGAGCAACAGCAGAGGTGAGAAAAGGTCGGGGAAGGTCAGAAGAGGTCACGGAAGGTTAGACGTGGTCAGGGAAGGCCAGAAGAGGTCAGGGGAGGTTATGGGAGGTTATAGAAGGTTAGAAGAGGTTGTGGAAAATCAGGGAAGGTTAGAAAAGGTTGGGGGGAAATCAGGGAAAGTTAGAAAAGGTCAGGGAAGGTTATGGGAGGTCATAGAAGGTTGGGAGAGGTTGGGGGAAATCAGGGAACGTTAGAAGAGGTCAGGGAAGGTTATGGGAGGTCATAGAAGGTTGGAAGAGGTTGGGGAAAATCAGGGAACGTTAGAAGAGGTCACAGGTGGTTAGGGAAGACCAGGAGGTCAGGTTGGGGAAGGTCAGGGAAGTTTAGGGGAGGTAAGTCCAGGGAAGTTTAGGGAAGATCAGGAAAAGATTAGGAGTGGTTATGGAATTTCCGAAACAGTTCGTGAATGTCAGGAAAGTGTTGGGGGGGGGCGAGTTTTTGGGATTAGGGGAAAATCTAGGGCGATGGGATGAGAAGAAGAATAAGTGAAAAGAGGTAACTGCAATTAAATCTGGGAAAATAAGAAACAGGGAAATGGACATGTAAAAAGGACAGAAGAAAATCGTGGATAAATAGGATCAGTTATATGGGAAATTGATGACAGAAACCTGCTCACAAGAATCCCGGTAATTATTGGAACATATACCCATAGGAATTCTAAATACACAACTATTGCCAATCAACACTTGCCATGCTGCCAAATCTATGCCTTTAAAAAATAATAATGAATGAGAAATTAAGATAAATCGTGTCAACATACCTAATACTCCCATCCAATCACGACCACTCACCCTCACCCACCACCACCCACTCACGCTCGCTATCACCCACTCACGCCCACTCCCACCTACTCACGCCCACTCCCACCCACTCACGCCCACTCCCACCCACTCACGCCCACTCCCACCCACTCACGCCCACTCCCACCTACTCACGCCCACTCCCACCCACTCACGCCCACTCCCACCCACTCACGCCCGCTACCACCCACTTACGCCCACTCACGCCCACAGGTTCTTCTACGCCTTCTACTGGATGATCAACGCCGGAGCCCTCTTGGGCCAGTCCATGACGGCGCAGCTCAGGGACAGCGTCCAGTGCTTCGGCGACGACTGCTACCTGCTGCCCTACCTCATCCTCGTCGGCTTGATGGTGGTCTCCACTACCATCTTCGCGCTCGGTCAGTTCGCCAAATCACGGAGGATTCTTTTCTATTTGTTTTTTTTTCTTTATTCTTGTGTGTGTTTTCGTTTTTTATAGTTGTTGTTTAGTTTTATGTATGTCGGTTTTTTTGTTTCCTGCTTCATCCTCGTCGGTTTCATGGCGGCTTCCAGCACCATCTTCGCGCTCGGTCAGATTCTTTTCTATTTTACTTTTCTTTATTTTTTCTGTATTTTTGTTTTTAGAGTTGTTGTTTGGTTTTATGTGTGCCGTTTTTTTTCTTTGTTCATCCTCGTCGGTTTCATGGCGACCTCCACTACCATCTTTGTGCTCGGTCAGTTAACGGAGAGTATTGTGTTTATTTGTTTGTGTGTGTTGTTACTGTTGTTACTATCTGCTGCCCTATCTCTGCCTCGTCTGACTGTCTGTTTATGTCTTTCATTTATTAGCCTACGCTTTTGTCTGTCGATCCATATATCTACCCTTCCCCTGCCCATGTAAATGCCCCTAACGCCCCACCCCCTCCACCCTCAGGAAGGTCCCGGTACATCGAGGCGCCCCCGGACACCATGCTTCTGCGCGCGATGCGGTGCGTGATGCACGCGGTGCGGCGCAAGTGGGACGGCGCGGACGACAAGGCGGCGCACTGGCTGGACCGCGCCCGCGACCGCTTCGACGCCGACCTCATCCGCGACGTGAAGATCACCCTGCGCGTGCTGCTCTTGTTCTGCACGTACCCACTGTTCTGGGCCTTGTTCTACCAGACGTCGACGGGCATGATCTTCCAGGCCAAGCGGCTCGACGGCCGCCTCGGGGAATCCTACAGGATCCCGCCCGAGATGTCGTCCACCATCAACCCGCTGCTCATCCTCACGCTCATCCCCCTCTTCGACCAGGTCATCTACCCGCTCCTGGGGCGCCTCGGCGTCCTCACCTCCACCACCTCCAGGATGATCGTCGGAATGGCCTTCGCCGTCTCCTCCTTCGTAGCCTACGCCATCGTCAACACGTCCGTCGAACAGACGCTCATTCCCTCCACCCACGCCCGCCTGCACGTCTACAACGCTCTCCCGTGCGAGGCCGCCCTCCACCTGCCCCCCGAGCTGCACCTCGTCGACGAGGACGGCGAAAGGTTGGCCAAGAAGGAGCACATGATCCCGCTCGCGGGCCAAGTCGCCCTCCCGAACGTCGAGGTCGGCGGCGCGCCACAGAAGGTGGAGGTCCAGGTCAGCAGATCGTGCGCGGCCGGTAGCGCCTTGACGCCGGTGCAGGTCGTCCTCCTTGGGGCGCACGAGTCCTCGCTCGTCCTCACGGCCGCCGGCCCTCGACCTCTCGCACCCTCCCTCGAGTACCTCAAAAACGAGGACGCTGAAGCCAAGGTGAGTCCTCTGCGGCCGATAAGATCCTGGAAGGTTTCCAGGATCTTTTTTTTTTGTATGTAGGTTAGTGATCAGCCCTTGATTAATTCGATAGAAATATTCAATAAGGTTTGATATATGCATTTATACCATATTTCGTAACTGTGTTCTTATAATAAATTCAAGTCATATGCATTGCATTCGTCATAACACTGTTGTTAGAGATATTTCTCCTCCACGTAAGCGCGATTGTAATTTTCGCGACGCTTTTTTTGCAGGTGCGAGTGATCGTAGTCAAGGGCGACGTGGCGGAGGTCACCCTCAAGTACGAGACCCAGGAGGAAAAGTTCCCCATCAAGGACGGCCTCTCCGAGTTCCAGATTCTGAGTCCTCAGCCTTACGAGGTGCTGGTGAACGGCACGGGCGTGGTCGGGGCGGCCAGCGTCTTACAGGACGGCGTGTACGACGTGGTGGTGCTGGGCGGCGCGGGCGAGGACGAGGCCGTGCGCGTGTTCCCCGTGACCGCGCCTTCGTTGGTGCACATGGGCTGGCTTTTCCCGCAGTACTTCCTGCTAACGGTGGGCGAGATCCTGTTCTCCGTGTCGGGCATGGACTTCGCGTACTCGGAGGCGCCGGCAGCCATGAAGTCCATCCTGCAGGCGGCCAATCTGTTCACCATCACCGTGGGCCTGTGGCTGTTCGCCGGCCTGAAGGCCATCAGCTCCGTCACCAGGGCCTTCGAGCACCGCGCGTCCCACGAGGCGCTGCTCTACGCTGGCCTCATGGCCGCCAACACCATCATCTTCACGCTGCTCCTCCGCTGGTACAACTCGGTGCGAAAGAGACCGCGCCGGCGGCCAGACACAATACACTTCTTTAAAGAACAGTGCCTAAAGAAAAGAGAGAGAGAGAGAAATAGGTAGGCTGTCTGCATCTCTGGAGGAGAGACAGCTGCACAATACACTTCTTTAAAGAACAGTGCCTAAAGAAAAGAGAGAGAGAGAGAAATAGGTAGGCTGTCTGCATCTCTGGAGGAGAGAGAGAGAGAAATAGGTAGGCTGTCTGCATCTCTGGAGGAGAGACAGCTGCACAATACACTTCTTTAAAGAACAGTGCCTAAAGAAAAGAGAGAGAGAGAGAAATAGGTAGGCTGTCTGCATCTCTGGAGGAGAGAGAGAGAGAAATAGGTAGGCTGTCTGCATCTCTGGAGGAGAGAGAGAGAGAAATAGGTAGGCTGTCTGCATCTCTGGAGGAGAGACAGCTGCACAATACACTTCTTTAAAGAACAGTGCCTAAAGAAAAGAGAGAGAGAGAGAAATAGGTAGGCTGTCTGCATCTCTGGAGGAGAGACAGCTGCACAATACACTTCTTTAAAGAACAGTGCCTAAAGAAAAGAGAGAGAGAGAGAAATAGGTAGGCTGTCTGCATCTCTGGAGGAGAGAGAGAGAGAAATAGGTAGGCTGTCTGCATCTCTGGAGGAGAGAGAGAGAGAAATAGGTAGGCTGTCTGCATCTCTGGAGGAGAGACAGCTGCACAATACACTTCTTTAAAGAACAGTGCCTAAAGAAAAGAGAGAGAGAGAGAAATAGGTAGGCTGTCTGCATCTCTGGAGGAGAGAGAGAGAGAAATAGGTAGGCTGTCTGCATCTCTGGAGGAGAGAGAGAGAGAAATAGGTAGGCTGTCTGCATCTCTGGAGGAGAGACAGCTGCACAATACACTTCTTTAAAGAACAGTGCCTAAAGAAAAGAGAGAGAGAGAGAGGAGGGGGGGGGGGGGCCGTGCGCGTGTTCCCCCCGTGACCGCGCCTTCGTTGGTGCACATGGGCTGGCTTTTTCCCGCAGTACTTCCTGCTAACGGTGGGCGAGATCCTGTTCTCCGTGTCGGGCATGGACTTCGCGTACTCGGAGGCGCCGGCAGCCATGAAGTCCATCCTGCAGGCGGCCAATCTGTTCACCATCACCGTGGGCCTGTGGCTGTTCGCCGGCCTGAAGGCCATCAGCTCCGTCACCAGGGCCTTCGAGCACCGCGCGTCCCACGAGGCGCTGCTCTACGCTGGCCTCATGGCCGCCAACACCATCATCTTCACGCTGCTCCTCCGCTGGTACAACTCGGTGCCGAAAGAGACCGCGCCGGCGGAGAAGGGCGAGGAGAGGAAGAACGAAGAGAAGAGAGCGGAGGCAGGAGCGAGTGAGAAGGACGCTCACGACAATCCTGGTTTCGTTGAGGACCACGCCGTGTGAGAAGGCGGCTGCGATGCCAGACTCCGCCTCTTTCCCTCTCTAATATCTCCTTTCTATATAGACGATCATATACGCTTCGCCAGCTCCCTCCCCTCTTAACGTGCGCAAAATTTCCAGTCTTTCTCAAAACTGTGATGCTGACCGGTCTCCTCTTACCTCAGCTTCAGTGGCATCATCAGTGTCGAATGCCCTGTTTCCATATTTGTCATCAAATGAGATTTTATACTGTTTTCCTGGTGTATTTTATGGGAGCAAAGCATGTGTACATTCTTTCCAAAGAATTACAAACTATGACCGACTGTAATGCAATTGGCTGATGTACAAAGCTTCATGCATTAAACACATATATCGCATCTTTTCCATCCAGAAAATCTCATTTCATTGACGGTTTGCAACGTTTCTCATCCGATGCAACATTTTTTTCCATAAGAATCCATCAACAAAAATTCTCATCGAGGTTACTGGGTGATTTTATTAAAAGTGTATGCTGTTTTTTCTGTTTTTTTTTTTACAAATTTATGTAAGAGCTTTTTCTCCATCAGACAATTGTGTATTTTTCTTGTCAACGTATTCTCGAATATATATTGTTAAGTTTGTATAAAGGACTCTCTTTTTATGTATTATTTTATTGTCTAGACTTATATTACATATATTTGCACATATTCTCGTATACACACGTTATACATAAAGAAAATAACGTGTTGATTTTTTAAATAAAGTTTATAATAAGAAGTGAGACTTTTATTTGTAACGTCAAAAAACCTATAACGTTATCGCTTGATACATTACACTCAAAATGCCTTGTTATTTAAGAGCACAATTGTGTAGTAACGTTTATTCCGTCTCAATGAAACTCACAGATGCGTAATAGGTAGGCTGTCTGCATCTCTGGAGGAGAGACAGCTGCACAATACACTTCTTTAAAGAACAGTGCCTAAAGAAAAGAGAGAGAGAGAGAGAGAGAGAGAGAGAGAGAGAGAGAGAGAGAGAGAGAGAGAGAGAGAGAGAGAGAGAGAGAGAGAGAGAGAGAGAAATAGGTAGGCTGTCTGCATCTCTGGAGGAGAGAGAGAGAGACAGAGAGAGAGAGAAAGAGGGAGAGAGAATTCAGAACAGAGTAGCTTCGAACTACTGCCATAGGAAAGAGGACCCCGTGTTTTTTCCTTTTGAGAGACTTGTGGGATTTATTGTCCTCGATAACCTAATTAAGTCAAAAGAAAAAATATTCTACAAATGACATATATCCAAAATCTTTTTTTTTTTTTTGAGAGGGGATATTCATGTATAAACAAATCATGGGCTATTATCAAGCCTTTTGCCTTACAAGGTCTATGAAAATTTTAATTTGAAATGAGGGAAGTGGCTTGATGTAATTTTGTAATATTTTGGGCAAATTGTGCGTTTTTGCATAGTGAATTTAGTTTAACGAAATTACTTAAAATTCTATATTGTAAAATTTAGTAAATATAACCGAGAATTTACACCTCACGACATTGACACATTACTAATTCTTTCTTATTCCTTTTAACGTTTCTTCTCTCGTCTCTATTTACTGTTTCTCATTTCATCGCATTCTTTTACTTTCTTCCGTTCTACATTCTCTTCCATTTTCCGCAATTTATCCAGCTGTTTCTCATTTTTTCACCCTTTTTCGTATTTTTTTCTCTTTTTTCCCTTTTTTTCTTTCATATTTACAGAATATTTATTTTTGGCATAGTCTCTCACATTACTTTATCTATTTTCAATTTCTCTCTCTTTCGCCATCTCACTCACTCTTTCGCATTCTTAATTTTCGCAGTTTGTCACCCTATCTATGCTTCTTTCATTCAGCTGCATCTTTGTGTATTTTCTGTAATAGATTTTGTGTGCGTGTGTGTGTGTGTGTGAGCGTGTGTGTGTGTGTTTGTGTGTGTGTGTGTGTGTGTGTGTGTGTGTGTGTGTGTGTGTGTGTGTGTGTGTGTGTGTGTGTGTGTGTGTGTGTGTGTGTGTGAGCGAGTGAGTGTGTGAGTGAGTGTGTGTGTTTGTATGTATGTTTATCTGGATATAAAATAAGATCTCGGTTGTAAAATAAGTTTGATTTTTTCCCATAATTTCTTTCATGTCTTCATACATATTAAAAATCAAAATGGCTCCCCGGGAAAAAAAAAAGAGAAAAAAAAACAGCAGATTGGGATAGGGCTGCTCCTAAAAGATCTTGGTTGTTCTCCTTCATAGTCTGGTTTGCCCCCCCCCCCCCCGCGCCCCAAGGACAACACGCCCACATTTCCTCCCCCACCCCCCTAAATTACGCCTCTATAGTTCCGGTTTAAAGCTTAACAGGCTTCTAGGATAGCTATTTTTTCACAAAAAAAAAAAAAAAAAAAATATCGGAGAAGTTGAAATGACGCCTTTTATAGAGATAAACACAATTCATTAACAATCTTTCCTATAAAGTCTTCGCTCCTACTGCAGCAAAAAGAAAAAAAAAAAAAAGAAAAAAAAATAGATTCATCGAAAAATTGAGTATATAAACTAATAAGTAAAAAATAACTGAAAAATAACTAGCATCAATTTATTAATGTAGTTACATGAAAGTATGCATAATGTTTATTTGAAGAATTTGAAGAACTGTCCGTTCGCCTCTTTATTACCTTATCAAAATATTTTCCTAATTTGTAAATTTTAACAATAATCTTGTCATTGTTTTAGGGTACAGTCTTTGCGAGGGCGTAATTGTGAGGAACGAAAGAGCGTGACTAAAGAGAACAAAATATAAACCAAAAACGAAAAAAATAAGCACTGAGAAAAAAAATAGATAGCATAATAGACCAAAGACGATTCCTAAACCACAAAACGAAAAAAAATAAGCACTGAGAAAAAAATAGATAGCATAATAGACCAAAGACGATTCCTAAACCAAAAACGAGAAAAAAAATAAGCACTGAGAGAAAAAAAAAAAAAAAAAGACACGACATGAAACGAGCAGACGACTTTAACACCATTAGCACTGCCATCTATTTTACAGAATCATAACTAAAAATCCGCGAAAAGTCCGCGATTCAAGTGTGTGTTTTTTTTTTCTTTCTTTTTTTTTGTCAAGAAAAATAGAAAAATATTCTAGTAACAGAGCAAATAGCAGGTTGTATGTCATTATACCCTAACGAAGAGACAGTTTAATTATTTACCGGAAATGTTTATTTATGAAAACCGAAAGACAGGGAAATGCATCTGTCATTTCACGTAAAATGCGTAAAGCCAAAATAATGACTTTATTGAAACAAAATGCATGTTGCTGATTTTATCCAAATTTCTAAAAGACATTCTTTACCAAAATATTTTTTATGCATATGGGTTATATTTTTGGTTCGAACTTTCTCTTCTGGCTTAGACTTCGACTGCTATTGTTTTAAAAAAATCGATAATTGACAACCAGTTAGCTATAGGAGCTTAAAACAAACTATCAAGTAAAGCTTTTTAGATACATTAAGTAAGACATAATTACCTACAGACTTTTTCCAATAAAAAAATCTATAGGGAAGAAGTCAGAGTAAGAACGCCTTCGAACGCGTATATCAGAATGTAAACAGAGGAAGAGGATTGAATGAAGATTCCCTTCTCACGTGCTTTAAAAAGGTAAAAAAATCAAATATTCTTGGGTTACTATGAGAAAATGAACTCGATAAGGTAACCAATATGCTTGGGATTATAAGGGAGAGGCTGATATTAGAGTATTTATGGAATGATACTAATGTTTCTGAAGGGGAAGGGATGAGCGAGCGACAGGAAATGTACGTGTTTTAGTGTTCGAGAAATGTACGTGTTTTAGGGTTCGATGGCTGGTACTTTCTTCTAAGATTTGTATGATAAAAAACTTTCGACTGAGGTTCAGGAATGAGGTTCCAAGCACAGGAAAGAAAATTCTAGGTGGTTTGTTGGAGTGTGGCGGCGCTTGGGCAGCCCAGGGGTTCGGTCAATATGCTGCTTTCAGGAGTTTATGCTTTGAGAGGTATGTGGTGAAACACTAAGACAGTGGATTTCTTCATGTTATTCTTATAAACCTTCTTTGAGGAACCTCAAACTTTACTGTTTCAGCATATTATATGATGAAGTTTTGAACACAGTAATAAACTTAAGGAACAAAATAATTGTACAGTTGGCCTCAGTGCTACTGCCATGTGTTGAGCACTTGCCTTTGTACCGTTATATATAATTTACCTCCCTTTCAAGTCTGTATTTACTTATGTATGTACAAGCACTCACACATTTGGATTCAGCAGATCTCAGACCTTGTCAAAGTCATTATGGTTTCGTTGGTAAGTCCGTGTTGCCTGTCAAAGAGTTGTCTTTGCAACATGAAAGTGTCATCGTTATTATTGTCTCCAAAGAATGAACTGAAGATGCAACACCATGGCAGAGGGCGGGGTCATGAGTGGTGGTAGCTAGTCAGCAGCTGTTGGGTGGTGGATAACAGGTTGGAAGCTGTTTCAGATGATAGGAAGGGGTTATCCATGGTTTGTTCACAACGATAGCAACATGAACAGTGGAAAGGCAGGAGGAGAGCTTAAGTGAAGTTATAGTCAAGGCAAGGCAGAAGGCTGAGGTGATTTAGAGCAGGCTAAGCAAGAGTGGCTAAATATAATTATTTATATTTTAGGTGAGCTTTTGTTATATGAATTACATTATAGATATATTTATTATTATTGCTTTGCTTTAGAATCTATGTTGGCAATAACCTGAATTAATCACCTAAACTGATAAGAATGTATTTCTGATCCACACTCATGCTGGCCCATAGCAGACAATGCATTTATACAAACACTACAGTTCAGATTTAGAGTGCATGTATACATACACAAGCACTTGCACTCACACTCACTCACACTCACACTCACTCACATACAAACACTCTCACACTTCCAGACCTGCCTGCCTACCTACCTACCTACCTACCTACCTACCTACCTACCTACCTACCTACCTACCTACCTACCTACCTACCTACCTACCTACCTACCTACCTACCT